CAAGAATTCCAGCCATCGTAGCTCGAGCCGCTTTGTTTGCGTCGCTGAGCTGATGTGGCACCCATTTTCCACACCGATTCGTCTTACCAATTGCGTGCAAATGGCGGAGAATGGTTGTATGGTCGCAGTCACACAGCTCTGCAAGCTCCCGAGTTGTTTGGCATGGATCCGATTCGATAGCGTTCTCCAACTCATCGTTGTCGACAATTTGGGGTGGATTCCGGGTTTTTCGTCTTCCAAACTCTCATCACCGTCTCGGAAGCTCTGAAACCAAGTCCGGCATTGACGTTCGGACAACACATCATCGCCGAATGCTTTGCACAGAGCACGATGAAATTCCGCAGGCGTTCTGTCTTGTTTAAAATCATACAACAAGCAAACCCGCACTCGAAATTTTTCGTTAACCATTTTCTAGAAGCTAAAAATTACTTCAAATTAAGTAAAACGCATAAGTCTTAGATATCAAAAGACGCGCAAAGAGACGCTCTTTCAGATAGACAAATATCTTCAATAAAAACTTTTATTAGGTTCAAAATATAAACAAACAAGTGTGACGGAAGTTTCATCTGCACCAACCTAATAATTTCGAACTTTAAAGTTAAAGCTTCGATACTAGGCAAGTATTCTGCCTGTCGATACTAGGCAGAATGGGTTTAAAGTTTGATACATTTATTTCAACCTCTCAGTCTTATTCTTTTTATCGCCTTCCAGTGCTTCTGTATGCAGAGATAAAAAGATAGCTTCTGTATGCAAAAAGATAGCTTCTGTATGCAAAAAGATAGCTTCTGTATGCAAAAAGATAGCTTCTGTATGCAAAAAGATCGACAACAGTCTTCCATTTTGTTTCATTAGTTTTTCTATTATTTTAGGTTTTCGTGATGGACTCCCGAAGCGAATCCACTAATCGAATGTCGAATCTCGAATTCTACAAGGAAATCGCCATCATTCTCATCACATTTTTCTTGATAAACGGTAAGGGCTGTAAAGAAATCGCTGTAAAACTCGGAAAATTATTTGTAGAGCACTGGTGGATCTTAGAATAGTCTTATTGTTATTTTTAACTGGTCTTATTGTTAATCATTTCCGAGAAGTTGTCCTTTTGCAAAGAACGCTCAGGAGTTTTCATCGGTTTATCACTTTTTCACCAGTTCAAAGAAATTTTAGGCTTGTTAATGTTGATTTATTATTGTTTACCAAATGTAAACGATGTTTTCAAACTTTTGAATGAAACAAATCGCTTCGCCGACCTCCATCACGTAATCACTTGCCTGCAATTCGTGGTGAGTTGAAAATTTTGTGTTGTTTGTATTCTTTTGTTTTGAATTCTTTCAAAAGAGTTGTTTATGAAGCTCATCAAGCTCATCAAGCTCATTGTTTATGAAGCTCATCAAGCTCATCAAGCTCATTGTTTATGAAGCTCATCAAGCTCATCAAGCTCATTGTTTATCAAGCTCATCAAGCTCATCAAGCTCATTGTTTATCAAGCTCATCAAGCTCATCAAGCTCATTGTTTATGAAGCTCATCAAGCTCATCAAGCTCATTGTTTATCAAGCCCATTCTCCTGATCTCAATTTAAGTTCGCCATTCTCTCCGTTTTCACCAATATTATCAGTGCCTGGTGCTGTTGGAAAGGTCGACGATTTCTCTCAAAAGCTATCTTTTTATTATTGACTGCTGCTTCAACGTCTCGTTGTTTATTTTCGATTTGCCTCATTTCACCCTTTTATTGCACACTATCAACATTGTGAGTTTTAGCCATTTACAACTTCAAATTGTGGTCATGAAATGTGATTGGGAGGGATGTGCCTAGCAGATCTGTGCTGGTCTGTCCTTGCCCATTTGCTGGTCTGTCTTTGCCTAGTCTGTCCTTGCTCAAGCTAGGTCTAGTCAGGGCTAATCTGAGTCTGCTGTTCAAGCTTTGTTCCATCCTGAGATGCCTGGATCTAGTATAGAATGGTATAGTCATAGTCAAGTCATCTGGTATAGTCAAGCGAATGAACAAAAGTGTGAACTTGTTCAAGATCTGGTCGTCCTGGCTTGTCCTGGAAATGTGATTGGGATTGGGATGTGCCTAGCAGATCTGTGCTGGTCTGTCCTTGCCCATCCCCTTAAGTAAATCAGTTAGTGGAACGGTAAATCAAAATGAAAAAAAACTTTAGCATTCCATTCCCTCAATGTTCCCCAGTTGTGAAACAAATTTACGCTATAGTGACAAACGTTCTCGGCGCGTCTCAATGGAGTACAGGATATCTGCAAATCGGTCTGAATTCCAGAATTAAGAATGCTAGAATTAAGAATTCCAGAATTAAGAATTCTAGAATTAAGAATTCCAGAATTAACAATTCTAGAATTAACAATTCTAGAATTAAGAATGCTAGAATTAAGAATGCTAGAATTAAGAATGCTAGAATTAAGAATGCTAGAATTAAGAATGCTAGAATTAAGAATGCTAGAATTAACAATTCTAGAATTAACAATTCTAGAATTAAGAATTCTAGAATTAACAATTCTAGAATTAAGAATGCTAGAATTAAGAATTCTAGAATTAACAATTCTAGAATTAACAATTCTAGAATTAACAATTCCAGGTGTTCCAACAAAAGTCAGTTCAGCTCGATTCCTCTCAGACTTTACAATAGCTCCTGGGAGTCATTGTGGTGCCAAAGTGGTGTCATTGTGGTGCCATTTTGGACGGCTAAATTTACTTTATATACTTTGTCACCTTTTTCCCGATTTTATGACTATGTATGCATGAAATCTTTGAGCCACCACCATGAGTTTGTTGCCATAAAAGTTAAACTTTATGCTGGCAAATGTAAATGATGTCGCTAAAATTGTGGCCGAGACAAACCGCTTCCCCGACCTCTATCACACTTTCAATTCCATTCAATTCCATTCAATTCCATTCAATTCCATTCAATTCCATTCAATTCCATTTAATTCCATTCAATTCCATTCAATTCCATTTAATTCATCGTGGGTTGGAAATTTTGAATTCTTTCAAACCTTGTTTATGAAGCTCATCAACCATTAAACCAAACATCTGAGCCACCACCAAACTTTGTATTAAAACTTTATGCTGGCATCGTGGAGTCATATTAGAGTGAAGATATAAACTGAGATTTTTAACCAAACACTTTATTCATCTGCAATCTATGAGGTCTTACATCAGAGATTTTCAACTCGCCTTTTTTTTTAAGAAGTGTCGCCTTTAAGAAGTGTCGCGCTTTCCCAGGTCGCTGATCGCTGAAACGCTGATCAATAGAGTGTAGCTATCCTAATAGCGTTTATTATGCACCACCATGCCAGTAGAAAGTTTAATTAAGTTTAATTTGATGCTAAAAATCTCATGGTGGTGGTTTTAGGCTCAAATTTTATTTATTGGGTGTCATGTAATCGGGAAAAAGTGACAAAGAAAGAAAAGTTTACCCGTCCAAAACCCTTTGGCTTTGGCCCCACAACAAACCCTGAGTATCGAGCTAAGTATCGCGCTAAGCTTTCCAGGTCGCTGATCGCTGAAACGCTGATAATTAAAGTGTAGTTATCCTTTATTATTCACCACCATGCCAGTAGAAAGGCTCATGCTCAAATTTCATGAATCCATAGTCATGTAATCGGGAAAAAGTGACAAAGAAAGAAAAGTTTACCCGTCCAAAACCCTTTGGCTTTGGCCTTTGGCCTTTGGCCCCACAACAAACCCCCAGGAACCACTAGAAATTCAGAAAAGGATCGAATGGAAGTGACTTTTCTTTGGAACACCCTGTAGATTAAAGTTTTTCTTTCAGCTTTATCCTTGAATCGTTTCTTGGCCCTTTCATTCAATGGCCTCTATTTGAAGCGAGTTCAAGAATATGCATGGCTTCAAATCGCTCTCCCAATTGTACTTGGAGTTGCCTCAAGAGTTATGATGCTTATAAGTAATCGATTTTGTGATTTCCTTTTTTATGAAAGCTATTTTAGTTCCAAATTTGGGAGTAGTGACAGTTGCGACAACGATTCCGCTCGATTTGATGTTAATCTACAAAATGATGGTGGGAAAAGAGAGTCGACTTAATTTTTGAATGTTCAGAGAATGAAAGTCGTCGTCAATGATAAAAGTGAACGATTTTTGCTTGGACAGGTAAGGAAAAGGATGGGGAAAACGCGGACAAAAGTGGGAAATAGGAAAACCAAAACGACTTTGAGTGACAGTCCATCAGACTCTCGAATCCATAACCAAAACGAGATTACGATAGCTCTGTGGGTTACTATAGCTTTCACTAAAGCGGGGTTATGCTAGGCTTTTCCTGAGAGGCAGAAGAGTGCTGACAGACAGATGCTGAGTGCTGACAGACAGAGGTCAGAAGTCAGAAGTCAGACAGAAAGACAGTTCTCTGCTTCAAATCAGCAGAGAACATAAAGTTAGATTAGATCAATCTTTTCAAACAGATCTATTAGGTTGGTGGGAAAATAATCGAAATAAACAAGACTCAAACTTTGTCTTTGATTTTAAAAGTCCTTTTGCGTCATTAATACTAAACTTTTAGTTAATTGTGATTGATATATATTCTTCTCTTTTATGTTTTTTTTTTAACTTTACAATCGGTCTTTATTTTGAAGAAAAATTGAGTGTTTTAGGAGCATGGATAAGGAACAATTTCGGACACTTTTTTCTACGAGTTCAAGAGTTCAAGAGTTCAAGCTTGGCCATACAGCAACAGAAGCGACTGGTAATATCAACAGGGCATTTGGCGAGGGAAGTGTTTCTGATGGTATGGTCGCTTTTTGGTTTCGGCGATCTCACTCGGGCTCTCAGAGTGACATTTCATGTTTCATGAGACGTTTCATGACAAAGAACGTCAAGGAAGGCCTCTCAGAGTTGACGATGAAGAATTGGAAAAACTAGTGGAAGGAGATTCGACCAAAACATCTCGAGAAATACGCACAGGATCTTCAGGTTGATCATTCAACAATTTTGGCTCATTTGAAATCAATAAAGAAAGGTAAAGAAGATGGAGTAATGGATCCAGCACGAATTAAGCGACTCGCAGAAGCTGCAGCGTCTGACAGCCTCGACGACGCCTCGACGACGCCTCGACGACGCCTCGACGACGCCTCGACGACGCCTCGACGACGCCTCGACGACGCCTCGACGACGCCTCGACGACGCCTCGACGACGCCTCGACGACGCCTCGACGACGCCTCGACGACGCCTCGACGACGCCTCGACGACGCCTCGACGACGCCTCGACGACGCCTCGACGACGCCTCGACGACGCCTCGACGACGCCTCGACGACGCCTCGACGACGCCTCGACGACGCCTCGACGCTTCTAACCCGAAATGAAAAAGATCCATTTCTGAATCGGATTGTCACGTGTGACAAAAAATGGATCCTATACGACAACAGAAAAACAAGATCCGAATGGCTCAGCAAAGATGAAAAGCCCAAACGCCGTGCAAAGCCAGAGATTCATCAAAAAAAAAAGTGAAGATTACTTTTTGGTGGTCCATGAAAGGAATAATACATTTTTCTTTCTTGAAAACAGGAAATTCTATGAATTCGGACCCATAGATTTTGGAAATAGAAAAAATGCATACAAAATTGACAATTTTGGATCCAGGTTTGGTGAATCGGAAAGGTCCGGTCTTGCTTCACGACAACGCTCGCCCGCACACAACGCTCGCCCGCAATCAAAACCATCAAAAAAAATTGAGCGAGCTGGGCTACGAAATTTCTTAGTCACCCGCCTTACTCACCAGATCTTTCTCCTACGAATTTCCACTTTTTCAAGCATCTGTGCCATTTTCGAGAAGATAAACATTTCAAGAATCAAGGCGAGGCCGGAAACGCTTTCCAGCAGTTTATCGCCTCGAAAACGCCAGATTTCCATTCTGATGGAATTGGAAAACTTGTTTCGCGTTGGCAGCCGTGTATAGATGCTGATGGTTTTTACTTTGAATAAATTCATTTGTTATTGACTTTTAGTTTTGGACTTGAGGCTCCAAATTTCGATTATTTTCCCACCAACCTAATAGAAATTTCAAATATAACTTTATTCTGCTCAAATTCTCAATCCAATTCCATCCATTTTCAGATCATTGCCAACAATTTGCCCTTATCTTTTGTTTATCTCCTTTGCCCATTTATTTATATCACTTTGGGCAATTTCTGCCCATTTTTCTCCGATTTGGCTTATTATTTCGGAAATTTAATGCAGTTTTCTTTGGGTTTATTCTTCGAGGGGTGATTGTTTTAATTGGATGATTGTTTATCAAAAAAGATCATATTTCAGCTGTGTAACGATCTATTTGGTCAAACGAACGGAGAGAATAATACGCGTGAAAAGCAAAATAACTTTGAAAGTTGGGACACCACGACAGAGCTAAGGAAAAATGCAAGATTACGGGTTTTGAATAAATTCCAGAATTATCAGAAGTGTAGAGCAGAGGAAATAATGACTACAGAAGTGTAGAGCAGAGGAAATAATGACTACAGAAGTGTAGAGCAGAGGAAATAATGGCTACAGAAGTGTAGAGCAGAGGAAATAATCAATAATGGCTACAATTTGCACTAATAAAGCTTTTATGCCTCAGTTTGGATCACTTTTGATCAACAAAAAAAATATTTTTTCATCTCATTGTTGCAATCTCGGCGTCAACATTTTTCTGGAGAACTTTTTCCATTTTTTCCTTTTCCTCGCGTAAGCATTGCTCATTCGCTTTCACCGATTTTCGGGACTTGTTTGTTTTTTTTCAAAAATGCATATGTCGTAGCCGATTATGAATAGCGTCCAACCTAGGAGGGGTCTAGAAGCGTCCAACCTAGGAGGGGTCTAGAAGCGTCCAACCATCAAGTATTTAGTATCATTCAACGCAGAATCATTGATAATTATGTTAAATTTTTGAAATTAGAAAGATTGGATAAAAAGAAAAAAAATTATGGGGCTTCAAAGTTTTCTCTTGAACAAACAGTTTTTTTGCTCTAATTTTTTTTTCTTTTCATCCAATCTTTCTAATTTCAAAAATTTAACATAATTATCAATGATTCTGCGTTGAATGATACTAAATACTTGATGGTTGGACGCTCCTAGACCCACTCATCCTTAATCGGCTGAGGTTCATAATCGATTACGACATCTATATGCCGTAGCCGTTTACGAAATTCAGCCGTTAACGAATGAAATTTTTGATTCGAATTCGAAAGTACGAATGATTCTTTAACGGCTAGTTGTTAACGTAGCCAAAACGTAATCGTTCGTAGCCGTTAACGAATCGCTCGTAGCCGTTAACGAATCGTTCGTAGCCGTTAACGAATCGCTCGTAGCCATCCACAAATCATTCGTAGCCGTTAACGAATATGGGCTTGATGGTTGGACGCTTCTAGACCCACTCATTCATAATCGGCTACGGGGGTGCCGCCGATTTTGAATGAAACGTTGTAGCGCGGGCAATTTTTAACCTAAACTCCACAAATTTGGTACCAATCGACGCAGAATTCAATTCGCTACAAGATGATATAATATTCCTCATACAATTGTCCTCATACATTAAAGGGTTGCTCTACTAGAAAGATTTGCCAAAAAATTTCATTCATAATCGGCTACGACACATATATTGCTTTATATTCTGTTGGGTTGATTTGCTCTCGAGCTGCTCAAACGGCTCATTGATTCGATTTTGACCAAAGTGAATGCTCTACTCTTTTAATTCGAATCGAGGAGCATCTCTTTTAATTCTAACGGCCAACATCGAGGAGCTTCACCTACACAAATATCTAAACACTTGAGATCCCGTCGAATTGAGGTTGCTTTGACCAGCGTTGAGGACAAAAAAGCTAAAATGCGGCTAATAACCAATTACGGAGCACTAGAAAGTTATGTGAAGATTTGTATAGCCTATTCTATTCAACATTGTCGACTCTATCAAAGGGCTTGACGTGAATTCTGAAGTCAAAAACCATTCAGAAATTTATTCTAATGCATTTTCATCAGGGTTTTCTCACATCTATGTCAAAAAAAATGAACTCAAAAACCATGGCTACAGCTTTTTTCTCACAAAAATGACTTTGACTCTCAAAATTGCAATGAATAGTCATGCCTACGATTAGCTGAACTCACACTCCAAGCTGCCAATTTTCTCTGAAAATAAACGCAGATTTTGAGTCCCGACGACATAAATTATCTCTCTAAATTTGGTTCCTTATCTCTACAAATTTGTTTCCTTATCTGTACAGGGTGCGTCATAATGCAACAAGATACTCAAGGCATTGCACACCAAGAAGTTTCGCTGGAAGAAAATTGTTAAACAGAAATAGCTTTATTTAACAGTAACAAATAAGGAAACAAGAGATCATCGGATATGACCGCCTTTTGCCTTGATAACAGCCCTTAATCGGTTCGGATATGCCTCCACTGCGGCCCGAATGTCGTCTTGAGGAGTCGCCTTCCATCCTTTGGTCAAAGACTTCTTCAAAGTCAAAGACTTCTTCAAGGTCAAAGAGCAGACATTAGCCTCTAAGATGGCCCAAATGGAAGTGTTCATCACATTGAGATCCGATGAGTTTGGAGGCCATTCATCCTTGGTGATCACTGAGGGAAAGTTGGCCACACACCAGTCCTGAACCGTCTTCTTCGTGTGAGCGGGAGCTCCATCTTGCATGAAGGTCCAATTTTGATTGTTGGATCCCAATCCTTCCAAAAAAAGGGGGCAAAAAATAAGAAAGCTGTTTGGAAAACGGTCTTTGAACTCTTGTTGCAATAATTATGACGCACCCTGTACGAATTTGCTTCCTGATCTCTCTAAATTTGGTTCCTGATCTCTCTAAATCTCTCTAAATTTGCTTCCTTATCTCTCTAAATTTGACTCTCATCGATGACTTAAAATTAAAACCATCGACGACATCAAAAATTTTTCGAGAACAGCTTGTTCACTAAAATCACGTGCACTTTTGGATCAAACTCGGTCAGTATTTTATTGACCAAGCAAGAAGTGGCTAAGATTCAAAGACTAGACTAGAAACAGCTGAATTGGATGTCAATCAGATCTTTCTTGATCATTTAATGCTAGTTTATCGTAAACTGAGACTCTGTTATTTCCCTCGAATATAGCTGAATGATTTTACTGATCAAGCAAGAAGCTATAAAGACTTAAAGACTAGAAACAGCTGAATTGAATGTCAACTAGATCATTGCGGTCCCTTAGCTCTCGAGATTAGTTCTGGCACATATCACGCAGTTATAAGTCACTTTTTTTCTGAATTTCGCCGGTGAAACAAAGTTTTCGAAGCATTCACAATGTTTTTATACAAATTGTCGAACGAATTTGACTTTTATTTCACTCTAATACCATTTATTAACCAATTTCTCGGCCTCGTCAATGGAACAAAAAAGTTTATCGTAGAAACATTTCAGACATTCTTCTTTTTCGGATTCTAAATAGTGAGATTTCCATATGCAATTAGATTGAAAGAGAATTTCATAGTTGTCAGTGTCAGTGTCAGTGTCAGTGTCAGTGTCAGTGTCAGTGTCATTGTCAGTGTCAGTATCAGTGTCAGTGTCAGTGTCAGTGTCAGTGGAAAACGATTTCAACCACTAACCATCACACGTTCTGAACAACATCTCCTCAAAAGAGAGAAACATTGGAAACCATACACAAACCATTATTGGGAAGAACTTCTCGTAGTCTTCGATTAACTGAAAATGTGCGGGAGTCATTTATGAGTGATTTCAAATAGCTTTTAACCTGTTCAACGTTATCCCATGGCAATTTCACTCCATCTGAGTGCTTTTTCAATGTGTCATAGTAGTGTTGAATGTAGAAATCTCTTCTGTAAAAGCAAAAAAAAAAAACTTCTCAAACTTTTCAAAAACTGACTTATTTCTATAGTTATCAGCAGTGACAGCGCTTGTCAGAATTCTCATTAAATCTTCCACTCCCGAGCTGATATGAACGACCTAAGAGATTTTGTCTTAGATTATTTAGATTATTTAGATCATTTAGATCAGTTAGATCAGTTAGATCAATTAGATCATTTAGATCAATTAGATCAGTTAGATCAATTAGATCAATTAGATCAATTAGATCAGTTAGATCAATTAGATCAGTTAGATCAATTAGATCATTTAGATCAATTAGATCAGTTAGATCAATTAGATCATTTAGATCAATTAGATCAGTTAGATCAATTAGATCAGTTAGATCAATTAGATCAGTTAGATCAATTAGATCATTTAGATCATTTAGATCAGTTAGATCAATTAGATCAGTTAGATCAGTTAGATCATTTAGATCAGTTAGATCAATTAGATCAATTAGATCAGTTAGATCAATTAGATCAGTTAGATCAATTAGATCATTTAGATCATTTAGATCAGTTAGATCAATTAGATCAGTTAGATCAGTTAGATCATTTAGATCAGTTAGATCAATTAGATCAATTAGATCAGTTAGATCAATTAGATCAGTTAGATCAATTAGATCATTTAGATCATTTAGATCAGTTAGATCAATTAGATCAGTTAGATCAGTTAGATCATTTAGATCAGTTAGATCAATTAGATCAATTAGATCAGTTAGATCAATTAGATCAGTTAGATCAATTAGATCATTTAGATCATTTAGATCAGTTAGATCAATTAGATCATTTAGATCATTTAGATCAGTTAGATCAATTAGATCAATTAGATCAGTTAGATCATTTAGATCAGTTAGATCAATTAGATCAATTAGATCAGTTAGATCAATTAGATCATTTAGATCATTTAGATCAGTTAGATCATTTAGATCAGTTAGATCAATTAGATCAATTAGATCAGTTAGATCAATTAGATCATTTAGATCATTTAGATCAGTTAGATCAATTAGATCAATTAGATCAGTTAGATCAATTAGATCATTTAGATTATTTAGATCAATTAGATCAATTAGATCAATTAGATCAATTAGATCAGTTAGATCAATTAGATCAATTAGATCAATTAGATCAATTAGATCAATTAGATCATTTAGATCATTTAGATCATTTAGATTATTTAGATCAATTAGATCAATTAGATCATTTAAACCATTTAAATCATTTAAATCATTTAAATCATTTAAATCATTGAAGTTCACCTGCCAATCGATGAAATTCCTCACATGATACTCGCCTTGTTCATTCTTATCCCATATCATATTTCCAGGCCACCTAAAATCTAAAATTTCGACATTTTCATCGATTAAACTCACATGTCACCATGGCAGAGAATTTTGTGAGCAGCTGAAATTTGTTCTCATCGTTCTCTTTCAATATCACTTTTTTTAAAATTCACTTACAAAAGTGCTCGAGTTTCTGTTTGTAAATCTCGGGTGTCTCATAAATAGGCAACATCTTTTTCATCACCTCCACTTGATGACTTCTTTCTGGGTATTTTGCCGTGATTTGGTCTAAGCCTTGTTCGATTTTCTGAAAAAAAAAGAAAGCAGCTATATAGTTTGAGCTTGTCTAAGTTTTAAGTTGTAAGTTGCAAGTTGTAAGTTGTAAGTTATAAACCGTTTGATTAACCCATTCGCTCATTAGCTCGTCCATCCAATGTGTGTCCATTGCATCAACGATTTCTGGATTCTTTAAAGCTAAAGGGAAATAGGGAAATAGTGATATTGTGTCTTTTGGCACTCACAAAATGCGGCTAGTTTCGCTAAAACGTCAATGACATCGATAGCGCCTGACTCTTGTACGGTGTGATAGAAATGGCGATGAGCGAAATTCTCAAAATGCTCCATCGCAAAATAACCTGGATTTTTAGTTTTTTCGTTTTGTCGATTCTCCTAACCGGCTTCAATTCCCTCAAAATCGAAATCCCTTCCACAATAATATTTCGGCACTTTCATATCGCGAACAAATTCGGGATTTGCGTGCGCTTTCTGATAGAAGTTGAACTCGGCGTCGTGAACCTGAAATTGATCTTGAAATTGCTCTTCCCCCAAATCAAATCCATTTCTCACTCTTCCCCCGTCATCAAATCATCCAAATCTCACTCTTCCCCCGTCATCAAATCATCCAAATCTCACTCTTCCTGCCATTCCTTTCATTGAATCGAAATTGATTTGAGCGACTTTCTCACAGAATTCCTTCAATTTGTCACACGTTGTGATCTTCAAGACCAACTTTGCCGGCAACCTCTCCACATCTTCGCTCCAATCAAACTCGACAAGAGTGATTTTTGAAATAAAACCCTGGAAAAGTCGATTTTATGCTAATTTTTGCTAATTTCAGGCTAATTTTATTCTAATTTTATTCTAATTTTATTCTAATTGTATTCAAATTTTTCTACTCACTCGTCCATCGCCGATCATTTTTGCGCTTCGCTTCTCGCCGGTTTTCGCTTTCGTGTTGAACGCTCTCTAAATAGGATTTGATTTGATTTGATTTGATTTGATTTGGTTTGGTTTGATTTGGTTTGATTTGATTTGATTTCATTTCCTTTAATTTCATTTAATTTCATTTAATTTCATTTTATTTTATTTAATTTCATTTAATTTCATTTAATTTCATTTAATTTCATTTGATTTTATTTGATTTTATTTCATTTCATTTCATTTCATTTAACTTCATTTTATTTCATTTCATTTCGTTTCATTTCATTTAATTTCATTTCATTTAATTTCATTTAATTTAATTTCATTTAACTTCATTTTATTTCATTTCATTTCGTTTCATTTCATTTGAAAACGGTTTCTTAAATCGATGAATGCTTCTAAAGTAAGCATGAGCTCCAGCTTACTCGAATCTACTCTTTGATCTACTTTGATCACAGTTTACTCTTTGATCAAAAAGTTGAGTCATCTATCTATGAAGCATTGTCCATCGCTAAATTCTTTGCTCATCATAATTTAGAAATACTCAATTCTCACTGAATTCCTCTTTCTACAGCAACTGTGCGTTCCAATTTACCTGAAAATCCTCTTCAACCATCGCCCAAGTGATTGGCGTGTCGATGATTCGCTCAGAGTCGTGCTGGCCATGTTCGTCAGCTACAGCTTGCTCTTCAACAACAATCGGCTCGGTGGGCGCCATTCACTATAAAGTTCTTCATAAACATAAATCGAATTTAAAAATGTTATTTAGAAGAAAGTTATTTAGAAAAAAGTTAGGTGAGCTTGAAAAATTAAAAATTTGACAAAAAAAAAGATGATTTATCAGAGTGAGAGAATTTTCACGTGATTAGACAAGAATTAATGAGAAAAAGATTGGCCGGATTGACTCGGTTTGGCCTGCTATCAGATACTCTCGATGAAATCACATTTTTTTAAGGCTTTTCCCTCTTTCACTTCTGAAAAAAATTGATAGCGGACCGAAATTTCAGTCTGAATTTCAGTCTTTGACCAAACAGAAAATTCAGAAAATTGCGAAAGCACAGAAAATTTTAGAATTTTAATGATTTCAATTTTTTTATTTATAAAAACGATTCTGAAAAGGGAGTAGACAATTTGAAAGTGATCACACTCGATGGACGATGGACGATTGACGATGGAGGATTGACGATGGACGATGGACGATGGACGATTGATGATGGACGATGGACGATGGACGATGGACGATGGACGATGGACGATGGACGATTGACGATGGACGATGGACGATGGACGATGGACGATTGACGATGGACGATGGACGATGGACGATTGACGATTGACGATGGACGATGGACGATTGACGATGGACGATTGACGATTGACGATTGACGATTGACGATGGACAATTTGAAAATTTCAATTTTTTGACCAAATAGAAAATTGGGAAAGCACAGAAAATCTTGGAATTTTAATGATTTCAAATTTTTATATAATTCTTTTTTATATGAACGATTTTGAAAAGTGATCACACTCGAGTGAACGATTTGAAAATTTTAATTTTTTTTGATCCAACTCACTTTCAGTTTCACAGAGAAGTCAAATCGGATTTTCACTTTTTTTCTTTGCATTTTTTTTTCAACGCATCAAATTTAAAACATTTTGATGATTTCGTGATTTCAAGCTCAAATTGGTGTGCGAAGTTGTGATTTGTGACACAAAAATGCTCGAGTTTCTGTTTGTAAATCGCGTTTGTCTCATAAATAGGCAACAAATAGACAACAACAGCACTTCTCTTCAGCACCTCCACTTGATGACTTCTTTCTGGGTATTTTGCTGGGTATGAGATTTGGATGGTCTAAGCCTTGTTCGATTTTCTGAAAATCCGATTTTCACTTTTTCTTTTTGCGTTTTTTTTCAACACATCAAATTTTTGATGCTTTTATGATTTCAAGTTCAAATTGGTGTGCGCAGTTGTGATTTGTGAAAGGTAGAAATCAAAATTTAAATCAAAATCTGAAACTTTTGAAAGTTTTATTTGAGTGAACGAAAACAAGAAATACTCGTATTGATATTGAATTGGGTGAACGATATCGCTTGGGGAAATTGATGGCTTTACGCCAATTTTAGCCAATTTTAGCCAATTTTCGCAAAGTTTTTAGAGCAATCTGGATATCACAGAACATGAAGAACATTGAAAAACGTTGAAAAACGTTGAAAAACGTTGAAAAACGCAAATTTAAAGATTGACTAGAACAAACGAGGGTTTTAGGAGAAAGAAAAAAGTCAAGTCAAAGTCAAATTTGATTTGACAAGTCAAATTTGATTTAAAGCCTTCAACTACTTGCGCAATTTCTCTCTTTCAACTCCTCGCCAAATCAAAAATGATCGGCGCATCGTCCTCGGCGTCCATCTCGACTTCGGGTGGACCGTCGGCTGCGTAGATCTGCAATCTCGGTTTTTATTCACTTTTTTGATGAGAAGTTTTGTTTATTTTCTTTTTTTTGGGTGATCTGGAAGGCACATAGCATCTCGGGGCAATTACTTTTTTTGATTTATCGATACCCAATTTTTCTCCCACCTCAGCGGCGTCTCTTGTCCTCGACGGGCGCGCCGCTTCCCGGATGTGTGCGCGGACGGCGATGGCGGCACAAATGCAGATAGCTCTGAAAAGATGGATAAAAATCGATTGAATACAGTAGCTTTTGCAAAGGAAACTCACCGCATACACGTATTCGCAACAATGAGAAACAGCGGTCCGCCAACTTGTCCGATATCGACGCCCCATGCGTGATTAAACGCAAACATCCACATGTATCTGAAAATATAATATTAGATTATTACTAGATTACTAGATTACTAGATTTCTAGATTATTAGATTATTAGATTATTAGATTATTAGGTTATTAGATTATTAGATTATTAGATTATTAGATTATTAGATTATTAGATTATTAGATTACTAGATTACTAGATTTCTAGATTATTAGATTATTAGATTATTAGATTATTAGGTTATTAGATTATTAGATTATTAGATTATTAGATTTCTAGATTATTAGATTATTAGATTACTAGATTACTAGATTATTAGATTACTAGATTATTAGATTACTAGATTACTAGATTATTAGATTACTAGATTTCTAGATTATTAGATTATTAGATTATTAGATTATTAGGTTATTAGATTATTAGATTATTAGATTATTAGATTACTAGATTACTAGATTTCTAGATTATTAGATTATTAGATTATTAGATTACTAGATTACTAGATTTCTAGATTATTAGATTATTAGATTATTAGATTATTAGGTTATTAGATTATTAGATTATTAGATTATTAGATTTCTAGATTATTAGATTATTAGATTACTAGATTACTAGATTATTAGATTACTAGATTATTAGATTACTAGATTACTAGATTATTAGATTACTAGATTTCCTAGATTATTAGATTATTAGATTATTAGATTATTAGGTTATTAGATTATTAGATTATTAGATTATTAGATTACTAGATTACTAGATTTCTAGATTATTAGATTATTAGATTATTAGATTATTAGGTTATTAGATTATTAGATTATTAGATTATTAGATTTCTAGATTATTAGATTATTAGATTACTAGATTACTAGATTATTAGATTACTAGATTATTAGATTACTAGATTACTAGATTATTAGATTACTAGATTTCTAGATTATTAGATTATTAGATTATTAGATTATTAGGTTATTAGATTATTAGATTATTAGATTATTAGATTACTAGATTACTAGATTTCTAGATTATTAGATTATTAGATTATTAGATTATTAGGTTATTAGATTATTAGATTATTAGATTATTAGATTTCTAGATTATTAGATTATTAGATTACTAGATTACTAGATTATTAGATTACTAGATTATTAGATTACTAGATTACTAGATTATTAGATTACTAGATTTCTAGATTATTAGATTATTAGATTATTAGATTATTAGGTTATTAGATTATTAGATTATTAGATTATTCGACTCCGACAATGATTTGATATCTTGTAAGCATTGATTTCCCATACCCATTCAAAAAAGCCATTTGCAGAGTGGCGACACTGATGTAAATTGTTAATCTGAAAATTTTTTTGATCTTTGATCTTGAAATTTTTGATCTGAAACCTTTTAAATCTTTTAAAAATCGTTTTTTATGTTAAGAATCGTTTAAGATTATTTCGTTTTTTTCTTTATTTTTCATCTTTTCTTTATAAACCTTGCCGGATCATCCCAAAAATTGTAGGCGCCGCGCATCTCGACCAATGCAATCGCGTGCACGGCCAATAGTAGTAATAGCACTGAAATTCGATAGACCTCGAATCAATCTAATCAATCTAATCAATCTAATCGATCAGATATGCAAAATTGAAGCACACCAACTGTGCTGGAAATGTCCTGGAGACAAATTTACCTATAGAGCGAAAATTAGCGGCACCCAACGGATTCCCCAACCACGCCTGAAACATTTGACCAATGAGCAACACAGAGAGAATGATGAAGAAGAAAATCTAAAGTTTTTCGTTAAAAATTCCTTTTTTTTATGTATCTAGAATTTAAGTGTGATATCCAGATGGAGAAATTTTCGAGTTTTCAACTCTCAAACACACCTCCAAAATGAAAACGCCTAGCAGAATCGTGCGATAATTCGGACCGTTCAACCGATTGACGATCACGTACGAGAGGGAGAAAGGCTTAGGGCGATGCTGGAAATGTGGATCGGGAACTTGACGTACTTGCTTGTACTTGACGTACTTGCTTGTACTTGACGTACTTGCTTGTACTTGACGTACTTGCTTGTACTTGACGTACTTGCTTGTACTTGACGTACTTGCTTGTACTTGACGTACTTGCTTGTACTTGACGTACTTGTTTGTACTTGACTACTTGACTTGTTTGTACTTGACTCACTTGCATCACTTGATGACTCAACCAATCCGCCGACGGTTTTAGCGCCGATCCAATGGAAAGCGAACGGATTTTCGCGTTTATGATCGCGTGAGTCTAAAATGTTCTTAGAATTCTTAGAGTTCTTAGAATCACAAAATGACATGAATCTCAAAATGACAAATCTAACCGCAAAAGCCAACACAATAAGCGTCGGAGCTAGCATAATCCCATAGCCGCAAAGTCGACGAATGAATAGAGGAGCTGTAAGATTTGAAAATTTAAAAATAAATATTATTTTAAAAGTCGTTATTTCTTTGTTGGATATCACAGAAGAATTTGAAAAAAATTGGAACAAATTGAATTGGTTTAAAATCGATTTTAAACACTTTGCAAACCTTCAATGAATTGTGTTCCTTGGTCAATATGTTTCAACACATCATTCCCGCCCAATAACAAATCGTAGACGGCGACACCTTTTGTCTAGAACTCTCTGGTTTTGTCCTTTTTTGTTTTCTCTTTTGTTTTGTCCCTTTTTCTTTCGTTTAACTCACACAAAGCATCATTGGGACAACAGTGAATTGAAGTGCTGTATAAAAAGGACTGCTTGGACCAAGGAAATGCCTAAGAATTGGTTTTGTTTTTGGGAACCGACCTCCAGCTGATCCAGCTGATTTTACCTCCATAAAGGTCCACCAGTTGACTCAACCGAAACCATTGAAATGTCGGTTTCGAGTGTTTGCCAACCTTGAAAGTTCAAGTGAATTCAAATTCTAAAGAAAACTCACTTACCATAAACAAAAAAGACAAGCACGTAAATGAGTAGATGAACGATCGATGATTGACTCGCATAACGGAGAAATGCTGCTATTTTCGTGCCCAACTGAAAAAGAAAGAACAACTATTGATTATGAAAATAAATCACTGATTAGAAATAAATCATTGATTAGAAATAAATCATTGATTACAGATAATCACTGCTTACAGATAATCAATGCTTACAAATCAATCACTGCTTACAGATAATCACTGCTTACAGATAATCACTGCTTACAGATAATCACTGCTTACAGATAATCAATGCTTACAGATAATCACTGCTTACAGATAATCACTGCTTACAGATAATCACTGCTTACAGATAATCACTGCTTACAGATAATCACTGCTTACAGATAATCACTGCTTACAGATAATCACTGCTTACAGATAATCACTGCTTACAGATAATCACTGCTTACAGATAATCACTGCTTACAGATAATCACTGCTTACAGATAATCAATGCTTACAAATCAATCACTGCTTATAAATCAATCACTGCTTATAAATCAATCACTGCTTATAAATCAATCACTGCTTATAAATCAATCACTGCTTATAAATCAATCACTGATTATTAGGTTGGCCGTTGATTCTTTCGATTTTTTAACGCTAGATCTAACTTTTTATTTTACACATCAAAAACGCCAAATAAAAAAAAACAGAATTTATCTACTCGAAATATTCACCGTCAACATCAATAACAACCGGCTACTTATCCGGCAAAAAATAGATTGGCTTCGAATGGCTTCGAATGGCGTCGAATCGAAAAACTGAGTGAGTGACAAGCGCACCATCGGACTATCATCTGTTCAGGTATTTTGTTCAGAATCGTCCGATTATCATTTTTTCAGGTCTCTGGAGCATCATTTGCGTGGAAAGATCTTTCAAAACGTCGAGGAAATGCGCTTTTCACTCACTCAGTTTTTCGATTCGACGCCACGTGAGTTTTACCGCCGCGGAATCTATTAGGTTGGCGACATTGAAATTTCGTTTGCGTTTCTCTTTATGGATTTTAACACTGTGGATACTATTACCGTCGCAATCTCTTCTGTTTTAAAAATATAATTATTGTGCTTTATTACGCGTCTTTTCTTTATTTCCAGTTGAAGAATTTAGTAAAAAAATCTTATAGATGCTAGACGACCTCAAAATATCGACTTCGCATTTGTTGCTGTCGCGATTTCAAACATGAAAAAAAAGCAACTGAATCGCATGAATCACTTTGTAACGTATTTGAGAAAGATGTTATCACTGTTCATCGATGTCAAAACTGGTTCAAAAGATTTCGAAAGGGTGACAGAAGTCTGGAAGATCTGGGACGAGGACAAACAACGATTTGAAGCGGATAATCGAAAGTGATCCGATAAAGACTACATGGAAACTTGCGGAATATTTTAATTGTGATCATAAAACAACCGAAAACCATTTGCATGAATTGGGCAAGCTCAATAAAGCTGGAAAATGGATTCCACATTCATTAAGCGATGCAAGCAAAGCCATCAGAGTTCTTTGTTCAGGAAATTTGCTTAGAATTTTCAAGAATAGTGGATTTTGGGATGCAATTTTAACTTCTGACAAGAAATGGATTCATTATGACAATATTACAAGGATAAGACAATGGCTCAGTCCGGGAGAAATTCCAAAGCCAATACCTAAACCAGATTTTCATGGAAAGAAAGTTATGCCGTCGGTTTGGTGGAGTACCCGAGGCCTGGTCCATTTCGAAGTGTTAATTTCTGGTCAGACTGTTGATGCAAATCTTTACGTTCGACAACTAGATCGCGCGGACGCGGTTCTTCGCTCAAAAGGAATTGATCCGACAACGGTGCGATTGTTACAAGACAATGCCTGTCCTCACGTTGCCAAAATTACGCAAGAGAAGATTGAGCAATGGGGCTGGGAACTTCTAGTTCATCCGCCTTATAGTCCAGATATTGCCCCGTCTGACTACCATTTCTTTCGAAGTATTCGGCATTCACTCGAAAGCCACAAGTTCCAGAACATCGAAGACATCAAAAAATGGGTCTCTGCTTTCTTTCAATCAAAACCAGCACAATTCTTTCAAGAGAGTATCCATAATTTGCGTCAAAGATAGAAAAATGTTATTGGTAGCTGGGGGGGAATCTATTGTTGATTAATTGTTTCTAGTTTATTTTTACGAATAAATTTTGTTGTTGCTCAAAAACGAAATTTCAATGTCACCAACCTAATGTTTGTTGCCGGATAACATCCTGCCGGAAGTGGCAGGATGTTATTGATGTTGACGGTGAATATTTTGAGTAGATAAATTCTGTTTTTTTATATTTGGTGTTTTTGATGCGTAAAAGAAAAAGTTAGATTTAAAGTTAGATCTAAAAAGTTAGATCCTAAGCCTGAGCCTAAGCCTAAGCCTAACCCAGAACTCGCTGAGATCCAAAAAATGGGGGTTCAGCCCAAACCCAAATAGACTTAGTGCTAGGCGCCAGCCGCTAGCCTACGCACTAAGTCCAAGCCAAAGCCTAACCCTAAGTCAAAAAACGGAAAGAACTTTCCGGTCAATCTAATGCAAATAAATCACTGATTAGAAATAATCACTGCTTATAAATAAATAAATCAATCAATCAATCAATCAATCAATCAATCAATCAACCAACCGGCATATACAAAATCATTCCCGCTGCTGTCACAAAGCACAAAAACCCGAGTAAAACGATTGTGAATGAGTGTGAAAAACGATGAATTGCTCCGAGAAAACAGAGTAGATGTAAAGTGTGTAGATGATCTAAAGTTTGCTCCAGATTGAAAGGATTTTTGTTTAGACCGGGATTATGTGAGAAATTTGAGATCTAATCCCTGTATAGTTTACCAGTTCTACAGCAAGATCGCTGTAGAAGAAAACTATAGCTGATTTTTTAAAGGCAATATATTGCAATATGTTTCGTGATACTCCAACTTACCAAAGGGCCCATGCATGAGTAGAAAAAGTGCGCTACGTAGAACATAAATGACCACAAAGGGCCGGCGCGAGTCGTCGCCAAACACACCGGAATCACGTCAAATGAATAGGTCTCATCTAAAAATGAGAAATCTCTATATTGTGACATCCAGGATTAGCTTTAGAAAGAAAAAAGCTTTTAGTTATTAAGAATTTTCGCTAGATATTTGGGTGAACAGGTTTTCTATAGGTGAACAGGTTCATCGATAGGCCATAGGTTCATCGATAGGCCATAGGTGAACAGCTTCACCTATAGGCCTTTCTCCTAATCTCTTCTAAACCAATCTCCTAATCGTTTGCTCACCAATAGATCCATAAGTTTTGTAGTGCGGTTGCAATTTGGTTATGTGTCCTTCGCAGCCTGTTGTCAGCACTGAGAGAAAAATGGGGATCACCTAAAAACATTTTTGTGAAGTGAAGAATAATTCGTTTCATTGTGGGATTTGTTTTTTCTTGAAGGTTCGGATTTTTCCAAATTACTTGCCATCATGAGAGGTACCGCTACCCAGGCTAACACTGGTGGAGCTCCATGATTCAACCGACTCACAACCAATAGAGAAATCCCAGTGAAAGCCGTCGAGTAGTCGACAAGTAAAATCGAGCTACGATAGAAACCCTGAAAACAAAGATGAAAGGGATTTGATGAGTGCGAATTTAGTGCACATGGGGATTGGATGAGTGCGAATTTAGTGCATAAGGAGATTGGATCAGTGCTAATTTTGTAAATGCACACCCTCTGACGGCACTTGTTAACAATTGAGTGCCTCAGAAATGGCACTCAATTGTTGAATCGTTGAAAAGCATTGAATTTGTTGAGTAAACACCAAGTAAACCACCTTAAGATCAGTCCAAAACGATTGTGGAACTTTCTCGATTTCATCCTGCGATACCTCGGCTTCAGTGTTACCAAAGGAAAAACCGCTTATCGCTAAGCCTAAAAGATTTCGATTTAAAATGAAAATTCGTGTTGACTCATTTCCAGTTTTAATGTTGACTGATTTCCAGATTAATCAAGTCTCAAAGCTCACCAAAAATCACAAAAACGTAGAGCACACTGGGCAAAAAGAGACAGAAACGAGTGATGAAGAAATCGATCCATTGAGGGAATCTGAAATCGAATTTGGCTTTATGGTAAGCTGATTTTGGAGCTCACTTGACGAGTAGACAATAGATTATCGTCCAAATGACGATATGTGAGAAAATGAGCGGAATCGATGGGATCGAGAAGTAGAAAAGCTCGTAGCTACGACCTGAAAATTTATAGAACTCTAGAAAAACTCTAGAACTCTAGAACTCTAGAAACTCTCGAACTCTAGAAACTCTCGAACTCTAAAACTCTACAAACTCTCGAACTCTCGAACTCTAGAACTCTCGAGCTCTAGAACCCTAGAAACTCTCGAACTCTAGAACTCTAGAAACTCTCGAGCTCTAGAACCCTAGAAACTCTCGAACTCTAGAACTCTAGAAACTCTCGAGCTCTAGAAACTCTCGAACTCTAGAAAAACTCTACAAACTCTCGAACTCTAGGAAAACTCTAGAATGAGTGCCAGGATTGACTCTGAGTCGATTTTCTTAGCGTTAGCCACGCTAGAAATAGAGCTACAGTAATCAACTCAACAGTAGTCAACTTAAAGTCTAAACTTGAACTCACCAATGTACCACTCATTCGGTTCCCAAAGTTTTGAGAGGTTTTTGTTGTCGAGAATGTTGTCCCGGATTAAATAACTGAAATTGGGTTACGGTAGTCAGGAAAATAGGGGAAAGGTTACTGTAGTCGTAGTGTGAAATAAAAACTTTATCAAGACGGCTTTGAAAGCGAATTGTTAAGTACTGTGATATCCAGGATTGAGAAATTTCGAAAACTCGTTTACCGATTGAACTCCTGTGCGGGCCAAAAGTTGTCAGGCCAGTGACTATAGTCGTGCACCTCGGTGACATTCTCGTCGGCGAATGGGGAACACTCACGGCTGTTGTACGAGTGACCGCAATCTGAACGAAAAGAGAAATCGAGATGACTCTAGTAGAGAACAAAGGCAGAACAAACCTTTTAGATGTGAGTCTCATTGGTAAACTCTTCAAAATCAATTTTATTGTATTCTTCAAGTCCCATTTTCTACAAGGTGCACCGAAAGTTCCCGTGCTTGTATTTTCTGTATTTTTGGTAATCTTAGATAAAAGATACGATTTTAAAAGTAAGAAATTCGAATTCCTCGCGAAAAACTGATTTAGAAAACGTTTCTGGTTTATTTATAAGTGCAACGCTATTTAAGACAAGTGATTGAGAAGAGAAGCGGACGGCTCAGGGGTGCTTTGGTCGCACAGTTACAGGGCACAGTTACAGGGCACAGTTACAGGGCACAGTTACAGGGCACAGTTACAGGGCACAGTTACAGGGCACAGTTACAGGGCACAGTTACAGGGCACAGTTACAGGGCACAGTTACAGGGCACAGTTACAGGGCACAGTTACAGGGCACAGTTACAGGGCACAGTTACAGGGCACAGTTACAGGGCACAGTTACAGGGGTTTTCCCATACAAATTTCCATCAAGGGAAATAACTGTAACTGTGCCCTGTAACTATGCCCTGTAACTATGCCCTGTAACTGTGCTCTATAACTGTTCTAACTCGGTCGTTGACCAAAACTTTATACATCCAATATAAAAAATGTCACATTTTATGTCTAGTTTTCGAAAAACATCTTGGCTCTTGAAAATCTTTTGATCTATTAAAGGTACAGGCCTGAAGCCCCAAAAAAATGTGGCCCTAAAGCGCCCCTGAGCGGACCCTCTTCTCAATCACTTGTCTTAAATAGTGTTGCACTTATAAATTAACCAGAAACGTTTTCTAAATCAGTTTTTTGCGAGGAATTCGAATTTCTTACTTACAGAAAATACAGAAAATACAGAAAATACAAGTACGGGAACTTTTGGCGCACCCTGTATCATGCATCGTCAAATCACTCACCAATTGCCCAATCCAAGCTGGTTCTCACTGAGAAAACGATGTAGAGAAGCGTTTGTGCCGCGCGTAACATCTCGGCCAGCAGTCGCTCGCCCACATGAAAGGCCAATGCCCAACCAATGCCTAGAATGCACTCCAGGATTCACGAAATTTTAGATTTTTCCCTTTCAAACCAACCAGCCGCAATCGGTGTCAAACTGGCATAAGTGTTCAGCGGGCCTTTTCGTGAAAGAGTTGCCACCGAGAGACACAACGATAGAGCGGGAAGAGCGAATAGAGGGAAAAGGATAGGCCACCATCTGCAAATGACAAATGCAAAAGATAATTTGGATAAGTGAAATCCTTTCTGTTTAGCAACCCGTTCAGGGGTTTGTTGTTTCATTTTTTTTGTGTGACTCACTTTGTCGATGCGGCCAACTGGAGAGCATACGGGGCACCGGCGGCCAGAAGACCCGCATAGGCTGATAGGCTTTCCATTTGTTTATTCAACAGTTACCGTATTTGAAGCATTTGCAGGGGAATCAAATTGACTAAACTTTCATATTGCTTTATATCAAAGTGTTGAAATGTTGAAAAACATTCGATTTCACAAAAAGGAAAGAAGACAGAAAGGAAAGAAGGTAGAAAGGAAAGAAGGTAGAAAGGAAAGAAGGCATACTTTGAGCAATAGAAATTTTGTGAAAAGCAAAAAAAGAATGATGACTGTGCTCTTTTAGCCAATAAACCCCTAGGATTGGCCATCATTTTTCCCATATTTTTCTATAGATTCGATATTTCTTTTTTAGATTGGCAAAGAGAAGGCACTGTTGTCACTATGTCAATAAGGAATCGAGGGATGGTATGAGAGAAGCACGAGGGAGGCATGAGGAAAGAGGCAACAATTCAACAAGTCAACGGGGAAACAATCGGTACACGGCCAATCCTAGGCGTTCGAAGAAATCGTTATAACAAGAAAATAAATGGATAACTAAGCACTGTGCATTCCAGAATTAAGGAAAATAACACAATTATCCAAGTCTCTCTGAGGGATGAGTCTGTAGAGCTCTTCAAGCAATCAACGGACAAGATACCCGAAAATGGTGGTTGCAAGAAAGTTCCAAGTGCTTGCTAAACTCTGTGCACTCCAGAACAAAAGATAAATACTATTTTATGCACGTAAGTGGTAGGATTAGACAAGTAGAGTCAAGTAAGTGGATCGAGACAACTTAATTTCAGGGTAATAGCTGAATATCTATAAAATTTAATAAAGAAAACTAATTTTTGATCAATTTTGATCAATTTTGATCAATTTTGATCAATTTTGATCAATTTTGATCAATTTTGATCAATTTTGATCAATTTTGATCAATTTTGATTAATTTTGATTAATTTTGATTAATTTTGATTAATTTTGATTAATTTTGATTAATTTTGATTAATTTTGATTAATTTTGATTAATTTTGATTAATTTTGATTAATTTTGATTAATTTTTGATTAATTTTGATTAATTTTGATTAATTTTGATTAATTTTGATTAATTTTGATTAATTTTGATTAATTTTGATTAATTTTGATTAATTTTGATTAATTTTGATTAATTTTGATTAATTTTGATTAATTTTGATTAATTTGGGGGTGGGACAAGTGCGACCTTTTTTTTGCGCACCTGGAGATTTGCGCACCTTTTTTTTGCTGGAAAAGGCCTTAAGAAAGGCCGTAGAGCTTCGAAAATATTTCGAAAATTTTTCCATATAAGGGAATCGTATGCGTAGATTCCGAATTTCGACAAATCAGACCTCGCTGACACGTCAAATTTGGGTTAAAAGGCAAAAACTACGCAACTTAACGCTTTTCCGCAGTTTTTGCCTTTTAGCCCAAATTTGACGTGTCAGCGAGGTCTGATTTGTCGAAATTCGGAATCTACGCATACGATTCCCTTCTATGAAAACATTTTTGAAGCTCTACGGCCTTTCCTAAGGCCTTTTCCAGCAAAAAAAAAGGTGCGCAAATGTCCAGGTGCGCAAAAAAAAGGTCGCATTTGTCCCACCCCCGATTAATTTTGATTAATTTTTGATTAATTTTGATTAATTTTGATTAATTTTGATTGGTTTTGATTAATTTTAATTGATTTTGATTGATTTTGATTAATTTTTGATTAATTTTGATTGGTTTTGATTAATCTTGATTGGTTTTGATTAATTTTGATTAATTTTGATTGATTTTGATTAATTTCAATTAATTTCAATTAATTTCAATTAATTTCAATAACATTTGGCAACAAAGGTAAATGAAAAAATGCAAAATTGAATACGCTGATGGGATTAAAATGATGAAATTAGGAAATTGGCTCTAATTTAGAAATGAATTGGATGAAATGAATCCAAATCAATCAATTCATGAAATGAAAAAAGCCAAAAAAAAAACACTGTGCACTTATCAGACTTATCAAAAATATTTCTATTTTCAATTTTGGAACAAACACGGTAAAGCTAGACCGGTAAAGTCTTCAAATCAGTCTCTCAGTCAACCACAAGACTCAAGAAATGACGAGAAATGACCGTAATGAGAAAATGAGTAAACAATAAGCTCCATTGCACTCCATAACAATAAGAAAATATTAGTATTTTGCATGCAAAAAGGTTGTGGTCGACTGGTAGAGGCGAGAGAGAGACACCGGGATCAATACCGGCCTTCCCCTTTTGTGTGCCCCCTCTCCCCTCGCGGTTTATTTACCTTTTCTCCCCCGTTTTCGATGGCCTTTTTCTATTACTTTTCATAATTTGTCTTTCACGAGATAAAGTCAAAAAGGGAAAGAAAGGGGGAAGAGAAAAGGAATCTGTTTTTGGCAAAATTTTTAATTTGGTCATTTTTTTTAGTCAAATTCGATATCATTATATTTAGAAGATATTGAATTTGTAATCCGAAAAAAATGCCGAAAAAAAGTGTCATAGCTTTGTCATAGCTCGACTTTTCTCCAATCTATCAGTAGCCTTTGTGATTCAATATTCTAATTCAAACAATTATTCGATAAAAACGAGCAGGTGAGGCAAAAATGACACATCCATTAGTGTCTCTCTTTTCATTCAACGATATATTTCCCTAGTTGGATCGTGGACACTTAATTGTTACTCAAGTAATGCACACACAATATTCCACTTCAAATCCTACCATTAACCTATAAATGATTGATTACCATAAATGTTCATAACAACGGTACAATTATTCTTTCATTGTACAATTATCTTTCATTCAATCGCTGAATAGGCATTGTCAATGGAGTTACTGGAGTGATAAATTTCACTCAAATTACCTGCTTTCTGCAGAACTGCAGTTCTCTTCTAAAACGAAGCTAAACCCTGGAAATGAAAGATTGATTCTTGAGTGCTTAAAGATTGCTTAAAGATTGCTTCAGATCATTGCTTAAAGATCATTGCTTAAAAATCATTGCTTAAAAATCATTGCTTAAAAATCATTGCTTAAAGATCATTGCTTAAAGATTGCTTAAAGATTGCTTAAAAATGCCACAAATTTCATCCTTAAATACATCGAAACAGAACTTGGATTCAATCGTGATCGCGTATGCGATTCGTGCTGAAAAGCTGTGTGATTGAAGAATGATAAGAAAAGACTGTGAGCTTTTAACCGTGACGACAAGTGCACCAGAAGGCAAGCGTTTATTAGAAAGCCCAAGTGGGATAAATTTCCGTGCAATGGTTGTCGATCCGATCTTGGCGACTTGGCAACAGTTCTTTCCTCTTCGGTCATCTACAAAAAAATAAGGGATAAACGTCAGTAATCTCTCGATGAGCCTGTGCGGCATTGAGTTTTCGGTTGAATGTCGCTGGTGTCTATTGCTAAGATTCTGAAAATGCGTGTCTAGGGGTTATTTTTGATGCTGATCACAAAACACATGTTTTTAGCCAAGGTTTCTGCACGGAAAACTAACGAAACGTGAAAACAGCCATTTTTTGGCTCTGCCGCCCTTTACTAAAATAGCTGTAAAAACTTTTAGAAAAGAGATATCTCAAAACGGTTTTTACCAATCGATCCGTCTTGAATTCAGCTTTAGGATGAGCTATAAAACGTCAAAATTCGACAAATTTAAGGTACTCTCCCAAAAAATCGGAAAGAACTTTTCCACCAACCAAATAGTTGAATTAGTTGAATGTGGTAACAAGCGTGTTTAAAAAGTTCTAGATTTACAGGTGTATAATAGAATTATTTTAGGAAACAAAGGCAAAAACTAACCACAGATGAATAGAAGAGTAGCCTCTTGTAATTCGCTCCTCATTTCAGTCCGAGCCATTCCGGTATACGAATTCCTTGATCCAAAATGATCGTTGAAGCCTGATCGACAAGTTAGTACTCGAACAAAGTTTAATAAAGGTTTAATAAAGGTTTAATAAAGGTTTAATAAAGGTTTAATAAAGGTTT